TTTGTTTCAACAACCAGGTCGTGCTGTCAGACTGACCTAATTGAACGCACTTCGTCCGAAGTCCTCTAATATATTAGTTATAATTCCCACCATCTTACCGTGCATTTAGTTCAAATACGTCACCCAGACAACACGACCAAATTGCAAAAATGAGGTCGACCCCTTTTATACAGTGAAAGGACACTGCGCTCGAAAGAAAACACAACATTTTGGTTTTCATAACTACGATTAAGCTTTATTTTAAGTTTGTGAAAAACCAAAAAATATGAATTTTCTAGGTGGATTTGAATTTTAGTCAAAGTTAAGCAGCTTTTACCTATAATATAATGATTTATTTGATGCTGTAAATATTGCGACATATATAAAGCTAGCGCCCATATTCACTCATTATTTATGTCAACATGAAGAACTTAACTTGATTGGGCAAAGCGAAATTAATTGTGTTGTTCAGACATTGACTGGCTTTTGAGCGCTAATCAATTAATTACGGTAAAATGGAAAGGAACGATTATAAACGAAGGGTATCCGAGGTGTGACAATTTTTTAAAGCGGATAAATACACCTCGAGAAGAAATTTTGTCAAAAAGACAATAATGTAATGATAAGTGAAGCTCCTAGACCAAGGCAGTAACTTACACTGAACTGAAATTGGAGGCTACTAAGCTAGCAGCAGCTGCTGCCAAGCTGCTAGGTAGGCCTTCTAGACCCGTGGCTGATGTAGAAATGGAAAGCGGTGGTGCTCCCGAAAGGGACATAGATCCAGGTGCGCCTGCGGATCCTGAGGATCCGCCAGAACCACCAGCGCCTCCACTGGATGTAGAGCATGAGCCACTCCCCGCTATGCTAGTTAGGCCTCCGCCGCCGGATGAATTGAGGCTGCAACCACTAGTAGAGACTAGGCAACCTGAGGAAACTGCTGAAAGAGAGGGCGGAAGACCAGGTCCTCCGGGAGGACCGCCAAGACCAGTGGCGCATGAAGGTGGAGCCGGCAGGCCTAGACCAGCAAGCCCAGGGGCAAGGAAGTTTGCGTATGCCGCTGAAAAATTCGCAATACAAGCAAATATCGCGTAATGACAGAATTGTGTTGATTACCGAAGATATCGGTTTATAATAAACTAGATAAATAGGACATCAAATTATGATTCTGTTAAAATTTGTGCCGTCTTCCGCACAAAATAATTTCGAGTAAATTCATCCGAGATAAGTGGATAAATTGAATTTTTCTACAATGATGTGAGTAAACCTCAGGTTTCCTATGACTTTCTCCAAGCCTTCCTTAAAAAGGCATTCTCATCAATAGTAAAATGTAGTTCCGATTTTATTTAGTCTCATCAGTACCCTAGGCGTGCTTTTACTCGTGGCAATATGACGTAGTTGAGAATACAAACATTATACACTGCACCGCCAGGGGTCCTAACTGGGGTGCGAGGTCGAAACCACAGTCCAACTTGGATGGGAATACCTTTTTGGTAGTAAGGCTAAGTGAAATCCAATGGAGACGTGAGTCATACTCATAAAATTGTGGGAAAAGTCAACTGTCAACTATAATCTTTAATCAATATTTACTGATATCCTAGAAAACCTGTTTTCCTATTGAAAAACATCGAAAGCCACATATGATATAATGAAACAAATATTAAGCAAGTAGGACCCCGTCATCATCAGAAGCATTTTGGTCGAGTGCACTGCAAGTTAGTAACTACTTTAGCATTGAATATAAAAATTACGTACTGAGCAATTAGCTAATAGATGAATAAAAATGATTGAATAAGTATCGCTAATGATATATACATTAATAGCAAGCAATCCCTAGTAATGTGTGAGAGTTCACTGAATTAGATCATTTAGGTGAAGAACGCAAAAGTAGAACTTAATCTTGCAACATTTGCCGGATTCCTACTTACTATACTGACCGTCTGGGAGTTCGATACGCAAGCGTGAAGCGTATTTCTTATTTGACCATGTTCTAGTTATCAACTCCATAACCATAGCAGCTACTTATAGATGTTAATAAAATAAATAATAAACGCTGCCATCCTAAAAATGGAACATTATACTAGCATAAATTATGGGTATCCGAAAACATAACTTGTACACAAATTATCATGTTCTTGTAGGATTAGGATCAAGTGTACTCACTTGCTTTGCACTACAACATTAATTTATGAAATACTGAAAAGTGGGTTCACTAGAAAGGTTAGACAATTAACCCACCAGCCAAAGCAGGATGGTGGTGTGGGGAAGCATGGTGTCCCCCAGCACCAGATCCCGAAGTCGAAGGCGCACCCGAGGTGGGACCGAGACCTGTCTGCGTAAGCGAGGATATCGAAGGTGTCGTGGAAGAGGCGCTGGTTAAAATGCCCCCGGCTACCATGGCTGCAGCTAAGCCAGGAATCCCGCCAGAAGGCAGTGAGAAAGAGGATACAGGAGGACAGACGCCAGCAGGGCCTGAAACGCCGACTCCACCAGCACCCGACCCTCCGGCAGCCCCTGCACCCATACCCAGAGCGGCCATATTTCTCGCAGCCGCTGCGGCAGCAGCAACCGAAGCTGCTGCAGCAGCAGCCGCCGCGGCTGAACTGCCCAGACCCCCAGCAGCTCCAATACCACCGCCACCGCCGGCGCCACCACATGCACCTGGCATCGAAAAGTGACTATTCGCTAGACCAGCTACTGCACTATTGGCCAAGGCTGCAGCCGCGTTAGACTGGCGCTGTGAAGCATGGTGGTTCATTCCAGTAGAGCCCCCGCCAAGAATCTAAAATATGGACAGATAGAAGCAGTACCATAAGAACATTTGAAGCACACTATTTGAGTGATAGTAACAAATAAACCCGCCAAATTAGATCCCCTATCATAAAGGCAAGAAATAAGCTAATATTTAAAGTGGCTAAATAAAAAGCAATATGCAATAACTATTGTAATTGAATACGCTAAAAAAAACTGGGCAATATGCTTTAGATACTTCATATCATATACTGAAATGAACATAAAGGAGCATCTCATACACAAAAACCATTTTGACGATTCAACAGATTATGAATCTGATTCGAAATAAGTTGTCAATGAGCAATCTATTACAGAAAATGGGCGTCAATTTGAAGAGGCAACTTACCAAGGACAAATAAAATCATCTATAAAATTGATTTTCATGATCGTATACCCTTGGCGGTCCTTAACCTTGTTTGAAATCTGATTTCGTTACAAAATGAATTAAAGTAGAGGTGCAAGGAAAGCTCGAAGCGATTAACACGCTTGATTAAGAAGTTTGAAATCGATGACAGCCGGGTTAGTACAAAGAATGCCATAGTAGGGTAAAGCAAATAAGACCATGAGAATCAATATGAATAAATATCACTAGGTAGTATGAATGCATGATTATAGGTATCAAAATGATTTTATGGATAAATTGGACAGTTGTAATATCTTACCAAATATTCCTTGTTTACACAATTCCTGAGACAATCAGGGATACCACTGGTGATTGCTCTCCTTATTTCGTTGGCAGCAGCTTCCCGGAGCTCTCGCATACTTGAGTCACTATAGAAGGCCATGTGCGGTGTTATGATAATGTTGGATACGTCTTTAAAAGGACCTAAAAATGAAAATT